TGTGTGTGTGTGTGTGTGTGTGTGTGTGTTACGGTAATGACACTACCAAGGTTGTTTCCAGCGAAGATTACAGGGATGAAAGGACAAGGAGATGCATGTAGCAATATGTTAAAGGGATCTGTGACTTACCTTGATTAGGACTATCCAAACTTGTATCGTGCCACGCTTCGATGATCAGAGAAAAATCCCCCTGTGAACAGAAACATAAAAATGGAACGATTAGTGTTTGGGGCTGTGGGGGGAACAAAACCAAGGACATTTGACATTTAATGTACCATTGAAAACTTATCGATATGTGCATACTAATGAGTCTGTTCTGTGTATTTGTACGGGGATGGAAGGGGGGGGGGGGAGAGAGGGAAAGAGAGAGAGGGAGACAGAGAGAGAGAGAGAGAGAGAGAGAGAGAGAGAGGGGGGGCGTGTGTGTGAACAAGAACAAGAAGAACAAAAACAAGAACAAGAACGGCAAGTAGAAGGAAAAAGCCTGTAGAGACCATAGCATAAAATCGAGACGAGCGAGACACGAGAATTCTGCAAGCGGGGGACGACCAAAACCCCCTTAGGCCTCCTTAGTGCTCGATTACGGTGCCAGACCCCCAGAAACTGGGCCATCTTGCGAGAGTGATGGGCAAACGCCGCTTCATCAGCCTGGAATCAGGGCATATAACAATGCTCAATGAACTTGATACCCTACTTCCTTCCATACATTTGCCTCCCACCACACCCCACCCGTAACTTTACTTCTCTCTCTCTCTCTCTCTCTCTCTTTCTCTCTCTCTCTTCCTTTTCTTCTTCTAAACTGCACGCTTTCATCGTCAAAGCTCTGCCATCAAAGAAAAGCAAATATGAAGACAGGAAAAGCAACAAAAAACAAAACATTTTTTTATTGAACCGCAAGCCTCGCCCTCCCATTCATAGAATTTTAAAAAATAAGAACCAGTTAAAAAGTATTCTCTAATCTTTTTAAAGAAAAAAATCCTCAGAGATGCCCGTGTCGAAAAACAAGATAAGGGGAAAACGCCAGAGAACAAGAGGCAAAGACAGACAGCCGCAGTAGAGAGAGAGAGAGAGAGAGAGAGAGAGAGAGAGAGAGAGAGAGAGCAAAACC